TTTCACACCTGTCCCCTACCCACTTTCTTTGCAAGGATAACTGCTGTACAGTAACAAAAAAACTTCAAACCAAATGCAAGCCAAAACCGTCATTATATCAACGAATCATTATCACATTTTCTCAAGTTTGGGCATGAACGGCAGCGGGAACTTCGGGCGCCGCGTGACGGAACCACTTTCTAAGCGCCCAGTGATGCGCAATATCAGGAAATATCAGGTATTCACACTGGCCGTTAATGATAATGACTCAACAATGACACTCAAGGGATGTTAAGCCCCAAGCCATGTAAAGCAACGGGGGTGTAGCGAGGGAGATCCACCGCGACAGTGTGACGACTCTGTCACATGCGCGACATTCGCTCCAAGACCAAATCGACTACCGTGGTAGTGGTGCAGTAAGTCGAGCGAATCAGCTGTAAGATCCACTGATAACTCCTGCGTGTTGCCACAATGTGAATCATGCGCACTACTATCCAGCAGAGGGTTGCGGAGATGAACATGGAGGGACAAAGGCAGTGGGGAGATGGACGAATTTAGGTCACATCCCTTTTCTGCTCATCTGCGCCAGCACGAGCAGAAGATGGAGTGTCTTTAGTGATGCTGCCGGGACGTCACATCTGACCAGCGGGCGAGGAAAAGGCGTTGCAAACAGCGGCTCGGAACTCTCAGCAGGACCTTATTGATTGAGCGTGAAGGTACTGAAGCGTCTCGAGTACACTACCAAAAAATACTCCCTTGAAAAAGGCAGCCTGCAAAGGCCTGCCACTATGATAAATTCTATAACAGAACTAATTTCTGTCTCTCGAACCTGCACACATGACGCCGAGTTGTCGAGCGATTGTTCATCCAACGATTTACCACACGAAAATCGATATCCTGGACGTTCCATCAGCATAATCCATGGTATAAATTCCACAAATATCATGTGAATCTTGAATAAAAATGTTTCTCTAATTTGGCAGGAAAGTATCCCGTGATAGGAGAAAGGCAAGGTGAAGGGTTTTTTTTTGGAAAAGCGGGTGGGGGGGGGGAGGATGGGCGGATTGCTAATTCCACGTTGGCAGAAAGGGAAAGAAGCGCGAAAGAAAGCGTCGCAACAATCGCGTGCCTGGCTTCGCGCTCTCACCCGCCCCCCCGAAATACAGTCGATATCGTCCAATCACTCACGAAGTTACGCAGACAGACTGAGTGAGCCCTTTCGTGCCATGTCCGCAAGCGGTTGTGTTGTTAGTTTATCAATCGGTAAGCGATCACTATTGGTAGAATGAGGCAGCTGGAGACGGGGCTCATCCCACCCCTCCTGACACTCTCCCGACTGGCTGTGACGCTATCAACTATACCTTAGCAGAGGAAATCTCCACATACCAAAGGTGGCCATTTATGATTTGCGTGTTGTCGATAGCGAAGATTCAGCACACAAACAGTAAATGTTGTTGACATGGCGACTATCAATGTCACTGACGAGAAAAACACACCTGAATGAGGTAACTCTTCAGTGATTACTGGCGTTTCAAAAAATAAAAATAAAACAAATTGATAGTCTCAAAAAAGAAGAAAGCTCGTGTGTCAAATACTACGGAATTTTCGGAAAGCTAGCTATATTTACATTTACCGTAAGATGGAAAACATCAAGCCACGGCCTCGGATAATGTGTGTCCACGGACCTCGTGATGAGTGCAGCGGTTTCGTATCTGAGCATGCCAGGGTAAGATTAAAGGCGACAGAGGTTTAGGAATATCTTTGTCGGCGGCTTAGCCGTTTTCTTGCAAACAGCTTCCTGTCCAGCTCTGTTCTAAGCAGGCAATACTTCATGGATACGCAACCATCGCCGAACTCACAGCCGAGTCCGTAGTCACGCCCCCCCCCCCAGACCCATTGATTACAACTATAAGTCGTAAATCTTCCCTACAACTAGTGATAAGGACATTACCGCGCAAGCAGTGCATGAGCGTACCTAACAGTGGAATCGATTCAGAGGTTGTGGGTGTCATCTCCGACAGAATCGTCAGAAAGAAGCATACCGACAATAAGATAGTCGTTTCTGAAAAGAAAAATATAAGTTGTAGTAGTAGTAGCAGCGAGTATCCAAAGTCATAATGTGGACATCAGACGTCCCCCCCCCTAAGCAGTATTAATCATTGAGTGGATCTCAGAGGAAACTGGATTACAGAACCAGGTAGTGGGATCTGAGGAGGCGACGCCAGCGACGCTAGTTCAGCTCTCCACCCGTAGCCAGGCGCCGGCTGGGCGTAGTTTGATTTGAGGGAACTATTTGCAGTAAGTGCTAATACATACTGCCTGGGGTACCGTATCTCACTTGCTTTACCCAAACCCGTCATTTAATCCTGCAGATGTTTGTGTTCACGGCCCGG